AATAAACTGCACTTGGGTTCTTCACTACGCTCGCCTTCAGTGGACTAATTAATTACAATTGTACTGCTTGCTTTGTTTTAATTTTGTTTTTGTGTGAATTTTGATCTGGTTGTACCTTTTCTTGTGCGGTCTGCGGGGTCCATAGCGTCTACTGGTTCAGACACACGGGATGGATGGCTCATGCCTGCCTTGTTCACCGCACGCACTCGAAACACATAGCTTCGTCCTTCCACGAGACCAGTTACAGGGAAGCGTGCAAACTTCACTGGAGTGTCATTGCATTGCGCCCAGTGTGTCATGCCAACTTCACACCTGCAGCGAGAAAAGGGAGGGAAATACAATTTAAAGGGATAGTTCACCCAAAAATACCCACCCTCATGTTGTTCCAAACCCGTAAGACCTTCGTTCATCTTCAGAACACAAATTAAGATATTTTTGATGAATTCTGAGAGCTCTCTGACCCTCCCATAGACAGCAATGTAATTACCACGATCAAGGTCCAGAAATGTAGCAAGGAGATCGTTAAAATAATCCATGTGACATCAGGGGTTCAACCGTAATTTTACCGTAAATTTGATTCCATCAAAAATATCTTAATTTGTGTTCCGAAGATGAACGAAGGTCTTACGGGTTTAGAACGACATGAGGGTGAGTAATTAATGACAGAATTTTCATTTTTGGGTGAACTAACCCTTTAATGCACCGAGATATACAGTCTGATGTTCTATAGGGTTTCTGTGGGTTTTAAAAGGTTGTTAAAAAGTGTTAATTCTCCCTTCCACAAATTAATGCCTAAAGGTCTTCAATTGCAGCAGAAATTATTAAATTTATTGGAATAATTGTTGCATGCATTGCAAAAACAATTTATGTCTAAACAATGACGATACATTTACTTTAGATGCAAAATGAAGATAAGAAGTCTTGCTTTCTGAGAAACTGATTAAGTGAGTTTATGCTTAAAACAAAAACAAATATCTTCCAATGGGATAGGAAAACTTCTTTTCCCTTTAAATTAAGTTGATTGCCCACTGGCAGATGTTCTTTTTTAAACAAACTCACTTTATTTTATACAGTCTGATGTTCTATAGGGTTTCTGTGGGTTTTAAAAGGTTGTTAAAAAGTGTTAATTCTCCCTTCCACAAATTAATGCCTAAAGGTCTTCAATTGCAGCAGAAATTATTAAATTTATTGGAATAATTGTTGCATGCATTGCAAAAACAATTTATGTCTAAACAATGACGATACATTTACTTTAGATGCAAAATGAAGATAAGAAGTCTTGCTTTCTGAGAAACTGATTAAGTGAGTTTATGCTTAAAACAAAAACAAATATCTTCCAATGGGATAGGAAAACTTATTTTCCCTTTAAATTAAGTTGATTGCCCACTGGCAGATGTTCTTTTTTAAACATAAACTCACTTTATTTTGATCAATATCTCAGAAAATAAGACTTCTTAAGTCATTTTGCTTTTGTATCTTGATTTATGAATCTTTAGACATTTACACTGGAAAACAAGACAAAACAAAATTATCAAGGAAGAACGTCACTTTTTGCAAAAAGGTACAGTAAAAATGTCCATATTCTAGTTAAGCTATTTTCAATATCCATCCTCATCTAGATTCCAATGAAAACCAGCTGATGTTATATAAACTACATTAAGCTGGTTTCAGCTGGATTTTCCAGTGATATGTGACTCTGGAGCACAAAAGCAGTCTTAAGTCGCTGGGGTATATTGGTCCTCACCTCTGACAAAGACATACGCTGAATGTGTCTCAAAGCCAGATTTGGTGATGACGCGAAGTGTGTAGAGTCCTTCGTCCTCCTTGTTGAGGTGTGAGAGAGTGAGTGTCGCTCTGTCGCCGCTCCAGTGCATCTGAACCCATTTTGATGGCACCAGCAGTTTATCTAAAACACACACAAACACATCCATGCATTACCGTATGTGTCACTAGGAAGAAAATGCATTTTAGTATATAAAAGAAAATATACAGTCAAAAGGTTTTTTTTATGTTTTTGAAAGAAATATTTTATGCTCACCAAGACTGCATTTATTTAAACCAAAATACAGTAATATTGAGAAATATTATTACAAGTTAAAATAGCTGTTTTCTATGTGAATATCTGTTAAAATGTAATTTATTGCTGTGATCAAAGCTGTATTTTCAGCATCATTACTCCAGTCTTCAGTGTCACATGATCTTCAGAAATCATTTTAATACGCTGACTTGCTGCTCAAGAAACATTTCTGATTATTATCAGTGTTGAAAACACTTACATTGTTGTGGAAACCGTGATAAACTACCATTCAAGTAAAATAAAAAAAATATATACTTTTATTCATCAAAGATGCATTAAATTGCTCAAAAGTGACAGTAAAGACATTTATAATGTTACAAAAGATTCTATTTCAAATAAATGCTGTTTTTTTAGCTTTCTACTCGTCAAAGAATCCTGAAGTATAATGATTTCCACATACGTTGTAAGCAGCAAAAACTGTTTTCAACATCGATGATAATCAGAACCATTATAAATAATGAGTACCAATAGTAATTGAGCAGCAAATCAGCATATCAGAATGATTTCTGAAGATCATGTGACACTGAAGACTGTAGTAATGATGCTGAAAATTCAGCTGTGCATCACAGGAATAAATTACATTTCAAAATATATTCAAATAGAAACGTTATTTTACATTGCAATAATATTTCTCAATATTACCGTTTTTGCTCTTTGTCATTGGACGTTGGACCGAAACGTTGTATGTGAATACATTTATTTTTTATATATTTGCAAGTGAGGATTTTTACACTTTTACTATGTTCTTTATCAAATAAATGTAGATTTGGTGAGCATTAGAGCCTTCTTTCGAAAACATTAAAAAATCGTAATTATTCCAAACCTTTGACTGGTAGTGTATACACCCCTTTGCAAGAAGTAAAGATTAAATATGCATGATAAATTGATTTCAAGATTGGCCAATTTTAGCTGTATTATCTGATGATATCAATTTTGCAAGAGATTACTATTATTGTTGCTCTTACCATCTCTGTACCACTCTATCTCAGGCTGGAAGCGCTGCAGTGACGGGTAGATGATAACAGAGCAGCCAAAACTCAGCGTCTCACCCTCAAGTCCAAAAGACACACCAAACTTCTCCACAATGTGCGTCTCGAATTTCACTCCGTACTCCAGACAAGGTGCTGCACACACACACACACACACACAAAATGGAAAGAATAAACAACAATTTTTATGCAAGAAATCTTACGTCCTCAGCATGGAAGCTCGTAAAATCGTAATTTAGAGAAAAAAAAATCCGAATTGTGAGACGTAAAATCGGAATTCAGAGGAAAAAAAAAAAAAGTCAGAATTGCAAGATTTGAAATCATGATTCAGAGAAAAAAGTCAGAATCGTGAGAAAAAATGTCAGAATTATGAGTTTATATCTTGCTATTTTGACTCTCAGAATTGCAAGGAAAAAAGTGAATTGTAAGGCGTAAAAATTTGAATTCGGAGCAAAATGTAAAATTGCAAGATGTAAAAATTAGAATTCTGAGTTAAAAATTCAGAATTGCGAGATTTAAAATCATGATTTAGAGAAAAAAGTCAGAACTGCGAGACGTAAAAATAGAATTCATAGAAAGAAGTCGGAACTGCAAGAAAAAATGTATTCTGAATTTATATGTTGGAACTCTTTTCTCAATGTCACAATTATTTTTTTTGTTTTCTTATCCTGTGGTGGAAATGGGCTTCCATAATACCTTTCATATATACGCACAGAATAAAGAACACAGACGCAACCAAATCATTTCCATAATGACCAGCGCAATCTACCAAGAGCTGCGCAAATTAGTGTCGGCTTTAAGACATGCTTTTTTTTGGCCGTTAAATAATGGCACAAATATCAGTAATTTGATGAGTGCTCAATTTTGCGAGAGACGCTATCAGAAATCACAGTCTTACCATCTCTGTACCACTCTATCTCAGGCTGGAAGCGCTGCAGTGACGGGTAGATGATAACAGAGCAGCCAAAACTCAGCGTCTCACCCTCAAGTCCAAAAGACACACCAAACTTCTCCACAATGTGCGTCTCGAATTTCACTCCGTACTCCAGACAAGGTGCTGCAGTACACACACATATTAAACTCCGTTTTATTTTATGAAAATGCAATATCGATGGCTATGACTCCAGGATTCACCTTGTGGAAAATGATGCACACATAAACACATATTTATAACAAAACACATACAATTCACATTGTTCAACGTGTACAATGAACTAATCCTCTGGAAAGGGTTTGGAAACTTTTCACAGGAATATCATCAAGAATTGAAAGGAGACTGACAGCAGGCATCATTTAGGTGGACAACATATTCATAAAATACACAATGAGACAACAAAAGTGCGGTGAATGTTAGTGAGTATGAAGACATTTGCATTAATGATGCTGAGACACACAAAGAACAGAAAAGAGTGGCACGTCATGAAGATGAACACA